AGGACCATAGAGACTGGTGGGACCTCCCACGGACCACAGAGCACCCGCTGGGTGGGCAGACAGGACCTCCCACGGACCACAGAGACAGAGGACCATAGAGACTGGTGGGACCTCCCACGGACCACAGAGCACCCGCTGGGTGGGCAGACAGGACCTCCCACGGACCACAGAGCACCCGCTGGGTGGGCAGACAGGACCTCCCATGGAACACAGAGACACGAGAGGAACTCCTGGGGGCCACAGAGACATGTGGGACCTCTCATGGACCACAGGGATGGATGGGACATCCCATGGACCACAGAGAGGACCTCCTGAGGGCCACAGAGAAGGGTGGGACCTCCCACGGACCACAGAGACAGACGGGAGCTCCCACGGAGCACAGAGCGCCCGTTGGGTGGGCAGAGGGGCCCCGGCGGTGCCCGGAGCTGGGTGGCCGGCGAGGCCCTCACCCAGGCACAGGGCTCCCAGGGGAGCGCGTGTCTCACCAGCTCGTCCAGGTTCTTGAGGTCGCAGAGGGTGATGGGCCGGGCCCGGCTGGGGAAGGCGCCCGCCCGGAGGTCTCGGCTCTCCCGGCGCGTGCCCAGCGCGCCGTCGCCCATTTGGTCCCTCATCTCCTCCTCGATCTCCTCCTCCATCTGGATCAGCATGGGCGCCAGCATCCCGAACTTGGAGCCCCTCCTGGCCACCTCCAGCAGGCAGAGGACAAAGTTCTTCTCGTTCTTCTTCAGCACCAAGTCGTTGGTCTCGAACATGAGGACGTCCTGGATGCCCAGGTCCTGCCGGCACCACTGGATGAAGTTGGAGACGTTATCCCTGGCGATGAAGGAGCCGGGCACCACGTTCTTGGCCTGGAAGACCACCTCGTTCTGGGGCACCCGCATGCAGGCGGCCGCCTCCGGGTGCCGCTCCTGGAAGTCCAGGGCGGTGCGGTTGACGTTGTTGGCGTGGCGGCAGAGGTGGCAGCCCGTCTCCAGGCTCTCCAGGAAGGTGTCCACCTGGATGTCCAGGTCGTAGAGGGTGTTGAACCACTCGGCCAGGTCCTCCTTCATGGCCTCCAGGTACTCCTCGCTGGAGCGGAACGGGCGGATGCTCTTGGAGGCAGCCGACTGGATGTGGCTGGAGTTGGCCATGGTGAGCTGCCTGTGGGGGGGCAGCGGGGGCTGTCACGGGCAGGTGACACCCCTCAGCCCCCCAAAAACACCCCCCACCCTGGTGCCTCCCGGAGCAGAGTTTGGCCACCTCGGTGGCCCCTCTGTGCCTCAGTTTCCCCCTGCCGTGGGCAGGAAGGGTCACCGGTGTCACCACCCTGTCCAGGACCTGCCTGAACCCTGCCAGGACCCCCACCCCATGTCCCCCAATTCATTCCATGTCCCCCCACCCCGTGTCCCTCCACCCTGTGTGTCCCACTGACCCATGTCCCCGTGTCCCCACGCCGTGTCCCCACCCCATGTCCCCTCCACCTCCCCAGGGTTCAGGAGCCCCTTGTCACACACGTGTCCCCCACACTGTGGGGCTGTGGCAGAGAGAGGACCCCCCTGCCCTCCAAAATCTGCCCAGTCATGGCAGGTGTCCCCGCCCTGGGAGCAGGTGACACTGCCAGGGATGGCAGTGCCAGGGGCAGGGAGACCCCCCCCAACCCCGGCGGGGGTCCAACCTTGAGTGGGTGCCCCGGGGTGGGGGCATTGGACCCCATCCATGGGGAGGGGGCTGCACCTGGAGGAGCCCCCTCAGCCCTCCCCGAGCCGGGGGGGGGTACAAGAGCTGGTGACTCCTCTGCAGGGGTGTCACCCCCTCCTGGGGGACACCAGTGACCTCCACTGCCGCCCCCCTCGCCCCCAGACCCGCACTCAGGGGGGGTATCATTCCCTGGAGGTGCCTCTGCTGCTGGAGGGCTCTTTTGGGGGGTTGTCCCTGTTGGGGTGTGGTCCCTTTCCCTCGGGGTAGGGGGGGATGTCCCTATTGGGAGGGGTCCCGTGCCCTCGGAGGGAGGGACACGGGGGGAGGGGTTGTCTCCTTCCCTTCCCTGGGTGGGGGTGTCCCTATTGCGGGGTGGTCCTTTTCCCTGGGGGGTTGTGTCTCTGTTGGGAAGGGTCCTATCGGAGGGGGGGTGTCCCTGCTGGGGGGTGGGTGTCCATACCTGGGGGGTCCCCCTTTCCCATGGTGGGGGGTGGTGTCCCTATTGGGGAGGGTCCCCTACCTTCGGAGAGGGGGTGTCGCTGTTTGGGGGGTGTATTATCTCCACTGGGGGGGTGGTGTCCCTATTGGGAAGGGTCCCGTACCCCGGGAGGGGGGGGTGTCCCTGTTGGGGGGGTGTCTATACGCGGGGGGTGTCTGTACCCGAAGGGTCCCCCTTTCCCATGGGGGGGTGGCGTCACTATTGGGGTCCCTGTGGGAGTGGGGGTGTCTCCGCTGGGGGGGGGGTGTCCCTATTGGGGAGGGTCCCCTACCTTCGGAGAGGGGGTGTCGCTGTTTGGGGGGTGTATTATCTCCACTGGGGGGGTGGTGTCCCTATTGGGAAGGGTCCCGTACCCCGGGAGGGGGGGGTGTCCCTGTTGGGGGGGTGTCTATACGCGGGGGGTGTCTGTACCCGAAGGGTCCCCCTTTCCCATGGGGGGGTGGCGTCACTATTGGGGTCCCTGTGGGAGTGGGGGTGTCTCCGCTGGGGGGGGG